GGCAGAAACCCTCCTTTTTACGCAGCGGTCCAGACATAGACATCAAACGGCGACACATATTCAGTTGCCAGTTACTTTGGCATTAGGGCAGGGATATCTAGATAATTTCCAAGGTTTGACATAATGAATTGTGCTACTTTTAAAGCAAGCAACGATGTTTTCAAATCTGTAATAAAAAAGCTCCTCAAAAACACTATCGCAGCAGTTCCTGCCACATTATCCCTTACATATGATTATATAGAGTCATTATTCATTTGTTTTAAAGGAGGAGGCGCAAACGCTTGCCTCGGGGAGGGAGAAAAAGAGCCACAGCGGAGAATAAACAGAAGGGCAACCATGCGGGAAGTCTTCTTCGCTGCTTACATATTCATGTAGAAAAGACGTACAAAAGTGCATTTTGCATGATAGGTCCCTTTTAAACAAAAATGTGAATTTGAATAGGCCAATACAATTGCTGCAACTCTGTTACTAATAACTTATCTTATACATTTAAGTGATACGCTTTTATCAGCATTTCATATACTAGTTACAATAATTTGGAAGTGCACAACTAATGGACAATTAACAGTGTCTGGGCGCTTTAAGTGCACCATCGGCCGGGAACATTACAGCGAGCATTAACCTAGCTTTATTGGTTTCTTTGTCTACAACATTATTGGACATGCACGGGTTAATGCTGCCAACTTAATGGCTTTGATAACACCATAAAAACATAAAGACTTTATAGATCAAGTCACTTTTTAAAAGTGGGTCATGCATCTGAAATCCCTACTCTGGTACATTGATCCTGAATGTGGAAATGCATCCATTGTTCTGGTCACCATGATTGATGACTCATGAGAATAAATGGGTCTGTATGAATTTGGTGAATATAACGGTTGAAAGTACATAAATAGCATGTGCAATCAGGCCATAAGGTATAGCACATGTGTAAATGTAATTTTTGGGGAGAACATTTAAGGTACCACATAGCAGATTAATATTAAATATTATTCTGGTAATTTCAAACAAAAAACAGGCTTTGGTGTCGAACATGAACAAAAGTCATGTACAGCACATCAGACTAAGAATAAAGGAAACAGTTTCAAATGTCACACTTCCTGTAAGTGAGGCAAGAATCAGTCAGCGTTTGAGTAGAGGAGGGTGTTATGCCCTTAGTTCCTTTTTTCATTCAAGGCCATCCTGCCTACTGGCAACACCATATTATCCTATAACCATTTCAATTGATAACATCCTGGAGCAACACGGCTAACGGTTTACAGAGCTCATCTGTGTAAATTCATTGGTAAGTACATTTTAAATCATCTGAATTATAATGTAATGTCTTAAATGTTGCCTCAGGTCCAACATATATCTGGAGCACCTGGGTTGTTGCCGGAGCTAAAAATAGGGGAAAAGTGTCTACAGAGAAGTGAATTGAAACAGAGCCAAGATTAAAAGATCTATTCAGACACCTTGTATATATTTACACCATGACAACTTAGTGATACTTATCACAAATAAAGTGCGTTGGAGCGATGGTTGAAAATGAAGAGGATGAAAGAAAACTAAGGAACATAAGAATGTTTTTTATTGTCAAAGCCGACACTTATTATCTTGATTAAACAGAAAATGTCATTTAAGATACTTTAATGTTGTAAAATGACCAGTGGAAAAAACGACCGTGAGTCAGAGGAATCTTTAAATACACCCTGTATGTAACCTTGAAAACATGCCCATTTAGAGTTGCATTTTGAGGAAACGCTGCAACACTTTTACAGTTATATATTTCAAAACTGCTTCAGATTCTACTCTTGTCACCTCTGACAAAATGACTTCCTCTGTTCTAGCTCAAGACACAGCAACCAGCCTGAAGAAAACAATGACGGTCAATTCTGTATGCCTAATATTCACAGTGCTGCTGCCACTGACGGCAAGCAGCACAGTGACATCTGGTCAGAGGTACAACTTCACTAATGGGATGACAGGAACACCGGTTACGCAAAATACATTCGCTCAGGACAAGATGACATCACAGGAAGTTTCCAGCTTAAATCCAACCTCCATAACTGATATAAATACAGAGGAAAAAGCTACAACTCCACTGCAGACATCTCCAACGACGCCTTCTAAGACTTTCTTTCCAGGTATTCCAACATCATCAAATCCAACCAATTCCACATGGTCTCAGTCAAACAGCTCAACAGTAGGCATGAAATTCACAACAGAAATTCCCCCTAGTTTCACAACATCAGAAACAACGGATGCAACCAGTCATGCTGGCATTCCAACTACAACCATAGGGACACCGTCAATGTCAAGCAGTTCCAGCCAAAGGCAATTCACCACTGACAAAACGACCCGTCCATTTACACGTCCAACATGGTCTACAAACCCCAACTCTACTACAACCACATTTACTGAGTCTGTTGAAAACCCATCTATCAACCCATCTACAGACCAATCTACAGACCAATCTACTAACACATCTACAAGTACAGTCAGAAGTGGTGATGCTACACAGTCCACAGGATACACAACTTCAATGTCCACCACAAAGAAACCAGTCATCTACATCAACAAGGTAGATGAAGAGGTTCCAGAAAAAAAGTCAAAAAATCAAGCACCCCATGGTAAAGCAGTGGCTGGGCTGATAGGCGGGGCACTGGTATTGATGATGGTAGGATTCCTGGTCATTTTGATAAAGAAACGTAAGCTTCAGAAGCAGCAGATTACAACTAGAGACTGGGCCGGTCCTTCACCATTTCTTGAGGACGGAGCTGACAATGGCCAGGTAACGCTGAGGTCATCTAACCGGATTTCGCTTTCCAGCTTCCTTCCTGAGAGACTGTCCAAGAGGTTGTCCTTACTCCAAGAAACTGAGGAGGAGTTAAAAGACATGACACAAGATACTACATTTGGAAATAAAGGAACTACATTTGGTCGAGAGGGGGATGGGAATGATGTACAAGAAAGCAATGGGGTTGCTGTTCCAGAAATAGAAAGCACAAGAGACCCTCCAAAGACTGTTGAAAACCTGACCTCTTTGCCAACAAAAGACACGGCCATCACAAACAACCATTCAGAGGTTGCAATAGAAAATGAAGAAAATGTAGCAGATCCTCCCACTCTATCTGAAACTGTGAAAACTGATTGATGACTTTGGGCAACAAATCGTGAAGTGAGCAACACATCCCCAAACACTTGGTGTCGTTATTCTTGGTTTCTAGGCAGCAGTAACTGTGAATGAGAAAACAGGAAACTACTGTAACTGATCGCTTGAGGAAATCATGACGAGAAGTCATATTTATTTAGATCCCCACTGCAAAAAGTGGAGAAAAAAAGCGCTATGATAAAACACATTATTTTGTTATTGACAAATGCTCAACCCTGTGTAATGCACAGGGCAGTGTTAGAGTCATAAGTCAGACTGTTGTACACTTTACTGCTAGCCAACCAGCCTCTTATTTTTTGTTATCAGAAAAATAATGTGCCTCTCCCCATCGCCCCTTCAAGGATTCTGACACCAGACCCCTGCTGTATTGTCTTTATCACCCTGTAATTATGTCACCTAAAGAGTATCAATCTAAAATGCATTTATTCCAACACTTCTCTAGAGAACATTTTCTATAAAAAGGCACATGTAGGCCCCTTTTCTTCTTTTCTCGCAGGTGCTGGTAAAGCAGAAGGTGAAGGTTCCAGTATGTGGTGGGGAGAACAAACAACATTTACAGTTAATTATAATTTAATGTGCAAATATTGACCCATTAGAAAAGGGTCACAGTATAGGATGAGATCATGGGTTCATGGTATGGCTGCACAATTTGGAAATAATAACTAATTGCATTTAGTTAGACTGATATTGCAATATGATTTATGTTATTGGAGAGCTTGTTCATGTTTGCATCATTATCCTGATAATCATTGCGACATATATTTAAAATAATTGCTATGATGTATATTTATATTTCACATATTTTGCCTGTAACAGTGTGCCTACTGAAATTTGAATATTGCACTAGCACTTATTACGATGGAATTGTGCAGCCCTTGTTGGTTTCTTATGCTAATACTGTGCTTATCATGTGTATCTCTACGGTGTGAGTCATGAGAAGAGTATGTGCGTGTATTTATTCAAGTTGTTAGGTCATCCTGTTCGTTTGCATGTTGGTAATGATCCTGATCATAAACCTTTTAATAAAGACTATGTAAATGTATATTTTGTATATAAAATAATAAAGAAGTGTTATTGTATTTGGAGATCATTTCTGAATGTGAGGCAAGAAAGGAGCCGAGTTAATTTGGGTTCTGTCTCGTCTCCCAGTGGTTTTTGTTGTCACATTTAAACGCACTTCCAGGTTGCAAGTCCTTCTAAAGCTGTACTTTAACCGGTCGCCTCAAAATACTTTTACCATCGAAAGAAAAAAAATCAGAAGTGGTTGGAAAAACACAAACTGAACAACATGACTGCGACTCGATTAGCTAAGCTCATTTGATAGTCATTCTTCATGGTACATTTTACTGATGAAAGTACCAACAGCAATTACCATATTCATTGATTAAGAATAAAATTACAACCAAGTCCTAGGATCAGAGAGTACAGGGCAGTAAACCTTAAACCTGGAGTGTCGTCCTGCTCTTTTCGATTGCTCTTCAATTATTTTGTAATCTTTTATGTATAACAATATATTTTCTAACAATATGTCTGAACTTAAGTGAGTATTTATCAATGTCGAAAATCTGCAATAGCATGTACTCCCTTTCCTAAAATGCAATTTTAACACTTTCAATGGCCTAGAAGATAATTGTAATGATCAAATGCTTTGGCATAGTTTCACTTTATTAAGTTGATATAGCAAACAGTTGCCTATTAACAAATGCATCAAACACAGAGCAACATTTGGATTTATTTGACACACACACACACACACACACACACACACACACACACACACACACACACACACACACCTTGCCTCATCAGCAGTGGGCTGACTCGCTGCTGCAATTCTCTCCCTCTCTCTCTTTCCCCCCCCCCTCTTCTATCCCAAACCTCCAGCTGCATCAGGGTCCTGCAGAGCGGGGAGCAGAACAGGGGCCGGCACACGCAGAAAGCATGCTAAGGGTCACGCTACCGCATCAAGTGCCAGAGAAAAAAGATTTAGACCTTCCAACAGCGACCAATAAAGCACAAAGAGAAAAAAAACCTGCAGCGGTACGAGGCGACAGGAGGAGAGGAGAGATGACGCATTAACACTAAGAAGGATGAGGTGAGTGATTTGAAACAGGACGATGAGCACGCGACACAAATGCACCTGAGCGGAGAGCCGAAACATTCTGATTGTTGTTAATGAAGTAAACCAACATGTAATACAGTGCTGGCATCACTGGCTAATAAATGCAGCGCTCTGACAGAGGACGTTTCTGGAACAAATGTTAAGGGTATTCCACGATGCTGTCTTTGAAATCCCAGACACACATGGACCTTTAGTTTGCCGATCACAATATCTGCAGTTGTGGACACAGAGTGATGTTATCGCCCTTAATGAAATGAGTTCCACTGCAGCACTCAGAGCTCCTGTCCCACTGGCAGAGCTTCAAACCGGCTTCCATAACAAAATACCAAAATGGTACTAAGAATTTAGATTAAGCAATCTATAATATTGGAGTGACCATAATACATACCCATTACATAATTATTTTTCATAATTATCTTATCACATTTCATTCTGCCCCTTCTCTTCCTCTGTAGAGCCCTGACCATGGCTGTGTGCTCTGCCTCCCTACTCTTCCTGCTGCTGTGTGTGCTGGGGGGGGGCCCGGTGCACTCCATCTGCCCCGCGGTGTGCTCCTGCAGCCGGGGACACCGCGTGGTGGACTGCTCCTCTCGAGGCCTCACCAAACTACCGCCTGGCCTGCAGCACAACATCCGCTTCCTCAACCTCTCTTTCAATAGGTAAGCAGCTCTGAGGGGTGATCTGGTTACAGTCCTGCTCTGCGACAGTTACTGTGCATCGGAAGGTACACTAACAAAACTAAAGCCTAATCTTTTCTAAAAGAGGATTGGGTTAAAGGTAAAAAATAAGGGATATTTGGCCAGCATGTATATGGTACACAGCTTGTCAGGTGAAGTGATAATTATAGGCCACCAATTCAATTCTTACATACTTTACAGTAGTTTGTCAGATTCTATTGTACTTACTTCAATGGTTAATTTTTATTTCTTGAAAATATTTTTCTCTTTTTTAAGTTGTATTTCAAAATAGATTTAGTTAACATTAGTTAATAGTTTGCTTTTTTAATTAGTTCTTTATTTGCTTGTTTAGTACCCCAAGTATGCATCATTATACACCAAAGCAAATTCCTTATTCCTTCTTCTAGTACTACTTTTGTCTCTCATTTGATCAACAGTGCTTGCGAGCTAGCTATATCGGCTCAGGATAAAACCACGGTGCTCTGAAGGTGTCAGCAGGAAACAAACATGAAGCTATCACCGCTAATGATCTGTCTACGCCTCTGACATGACTCACAACCTCATTAACTTTCTCACACTTACAATGTAAGGTGTTAGAATGCTAAATCAAAATCTGCAGTGGGGAAGCAATTTGAGAGCTTCTATTGAGCCGTTTGTGTTACTGTTAGCCTTGTTAAAATTAGCAAACTTGAGGTTGACATTGCTGGTTAACTGACACTACAGAGTCATAACATATTAGTTCATAGACTACAGTTTAGCATTTCATATGTTCACAACACTTTTATATTTTGATCAGCAAAGGTTAGAGCTAAGTTGCCTTTATGATTAGTGTGGTAATATAATGTTCTTTCTTACTTTTCTCTATAAAAATAACAAAAAGAAATTATGAAAAAAGTCAACTTGACTGTGTGTGTATACATGTATTCATTTTTAAATCGCACTCTGGCTTAAGCTTGCAGGGTCTGGAGTGCCAGCTCACCCACTATGCCCACCTCCGCACGCTGGACCTGTCCTACAACCGGCTTGACGCCTTCCCCCCCGCCCTGCCTCGCTCTCTGTGGGACATCCGAGCGGCGGGGAACCATCTGCGCTCGCTGGACAAGAACAGCACAGCCTATCACTGGAACCTGAAGGTCTTGGACCTGTCGGGCAACGAGCTGGAGAGGGTGGTCTTCATCAACAACACACTGCCCAGTCTCCAATCCCTCAACCTCAGCCACAACAGGTTCTGGACTGTGCCCACCAACATGCCACACAACCTGCAGATTGTTGATTTGTCACATAACTATCTGGTGCAGATCCTGCCTGGCTCTCTGGACCGTATGCCGAGGCTGGCCAAGTTCTATCTGCACGCTAACGGCTTTTCCTCATTGTCAGAAGGGATATTTGATACGCTGACGGGGCTGCAGTTGATGACTCTTGGGGATAACCCTTGGGCTTGCGAAGAAGAGGAAAACATGACGAAGCTCCTAATATGGGCGGAGCAGAGCCCTGCAACCATCTTAGGCTGCCCCTGTTTTACGAGACCCATCTGCGGGCAGAGCCATCAGGCCACAGCGGGGCACTCTGCTCTGTTCACAGAGCCCCCACTCTGGGTTGAAAGCAGAGGTGAAGAGCATGATGGTCCATCACCCGCCAGGACTGAGGAGGTCACGTCTAGCTACCAGGGCAAATCGGCTCTCTTTGAGACAGGAATGTATCAGGACAGAAGAGGCTCAAATGGATCTGGAGACCATGGGGTATTTGTCTTGACATCCACCACAAGTTTGGATGGCTTCTCCGCGCACACAAGCACAAAAACAACAACAACGACGACAACGACAGCGAAGACGACGAGAAAGCCCAAAGTTTCTAACTCGAGGAATAAATGTCTCGGACTCGTCATGGAGACTCGAGAAACTGTCACCCTGACAGTTTTAATCATGACAACAGCATTCTTCTGAACCAAAACACTTATTTTAGGATTATTCTGGACAGTGAATGTATGACCAAGTTACTCAATTTAGAACGTACATTTTTCGTAAAAACAAACAAACAACTGTTGAGACTATTACTGCCTTTTTTTAGCTCAACATGTACGACATGACAAGATCTCAGTATAATGCTTGCACTCAGACTGCTGTGCTCTATGCTTTCTTTATAATAGTGATGCTCGTGCTCAATTAGCCCTGTTAGCCATTCAAAACTTGATTGTATTACATAACACTCAATTACACCCTATTCAAACTCTGTCTCAGAGTATTAAAGTCTACACAGCAAAATACAGAAAAAAAAGTGGTAACAATAAAGGGCTAGTTGCAAGCATTCAAATACAAATTCATGGAATGGTTATAGGTGTTACTGCCTGCAATGGACATTTAATAAAGAAATAAAATCAGAAATTCAATGAATTACAACAGTGCAATGCAATGAATCCTCTATGATGTAATACTACTTCAAAGCCGTCTATCAACATACAGTATCTGCAAAGACAAGAACTGTTTTGTATTGCTGTTAAAAACTGTTTATGACACTGCCAAATTGTGTTTAATAGGATAATCTCCACTTTTATAATTGTAGAAGTGTGAATGAAATTCCAGGAGTAAATGGCTTACATCTGAGGCTAAAACAACCAAGCAGGTCACCACCGCTAAACTAAAAGTGACTTATGTTAAGTATAATGACGTGTAGTAGTCACGCAAAATGTATGTACTCAAACGTAACAATACTTTAAAAAAAGTTGTTAGGCTGACAGGTAAGTCAGACTATAGAAAGGCAAGGGAAGGTTATTTGTGGCCATTGAGATGAATCCAGGTGTGTATCCAGCTTCCCACCTGCCACTAACTGCCACCAGCGTGGTGAAAGTCCGCCTTAAATCAGGGCCTTGAATGATCACACAGTGCCTTTCTTTCATTCAAGTCACAAGACAAAGGGTAAACGCATAAACAATCCGTCATATGAGAGGTTAAACTGTCCATTTGCTTCACATTTCAAAAGATCCACAAGCACGTGCTTCCATTTTTAAATAAAATAAAAATCATTATGTAGAATTCCAGTAGGACTGTTATCGTCAAAGATTCAGTTAAACTTCATTGCAACCCAAAACCACCTAAATAAAATAATAATACAAAATTAAAAAACATAGGTTGAAGCTTGATCGGACATTTAGAAACAAACTAAAGTCAGACTTAATTATCTTGTTTTTCTAACCCTAAAGGTTTTTCATGATCCAAACTGGAATGAATATAGGATTAGAGGTCTAACTAGGACAATAGAAATAATAAAATAAAAACTCCAGTTCCACTTTGTTTTCCAGTTCAACATGACTCAGCCCACATGCTATTGACATCAACAGATGCATCTCCATGACAATGAAGGGAGCTGACAATGCAAGATTGAGAAGTAATAGAGCCGATCCAGGGATATTTCAAAGGATCTGTTACTGAGTAGAAACCTCAGAGAACCAGGCGATACCTGACACTCAGTGCAGAAGATGGATGAAGCCTACCTGCGGGCCACGTAGTAGAAGACTGGGTTGCCGGTCTTGGAGGTTCCAGCCTGGTAGAAGATGTTGAGGGTCTTTAAGGCTTTGAACTCCTCCTTCTCATGAACCTGGTGCCTGCAGGACAGAGACGATAGGATCAGTCAACCTTCATTTACTAACAAGAGCTTTGGATAAAGTGATGTTTTATCACAAATCAGGATCTATTAAAGCGATAGTATAACATATTGATATAATAGCAAATAAACCCATGAAGCCAATTTTAAAGGTCATCATAAAGTTACAGTGTGTCTCAGAGAGCCACAGCATTTAGCGGCTGCAAAGCCAGCTTTATTTCCTTTATGGCAATGATTTGATACAAAATATAAAATAAACATCCAAAGCCGATTTTGTATAGCTCTCAGTCAGAATGCAATGCAGAATTTAGTTATTTGGTGAAATATGACATTGAAAAGCTGGATTTAGAGTAAAAAAAGAACTGCCTCTGCTGCAACGGAGAATAATGTGAATATGGAAAAGTAACAAGGGAGACATTTTTATGAATCAAAGCCACAATAATGTAATCAAGCGATGAGGCAATAGGTGAGAATAGGATTAAGACACACTTCCCACAAAGGGTTTATTAAGTGCACACAACTACACTCCTATCACAATAAGTTAGCCTATTTGAGCCCTACATGTAAATTAAATGAATCCGGCTCGAGGATGAAATGAGGCCGAGTGGGTATTCAGCTAGAGGGACTCGCTTGTTTTGAGGGACGGATGAAGGCTGCTTCTGTTACCTGGTCATGAACTCCTCGAACTTGGAGCTGGTGAGGTTGAGGCTGGACCAGTGGGTGTCGGCCACAGGTTTGTGTTCAGGAGGGCCCAGGTAGGCCAGCAGGGTGGCCATCTTGTCAAAGGGTCGTCGGCCTACAGCCTTGTGGTCCCTGAAAATGACATCAGAATGAATCATTGAACGGTAATTATGTGATGAAGTAGTGGTAAAGAATGATTCTGTCTCCATTTGGATGCTTCTTAGTACAGTGCTGTGTTGTGCATTGTGGACAATTATACTTTGTGTGAACTTCTACCGCTGCTATGCCTTCAAGTGGTACAGTGTACATTGCTTGAATAGTGTAAAATATATGTCGATGTGTGACTTTTTTTTGTATACCAAATGTAATTTACTGTAGCAGCCGCACTTGTGGCTGGTTCTGTACTTTCTGTTTTGTAACCAAGATTGCGCTCTTTTAGGGTGACAAATGTCCAGCGCAAGCCCCCAGGAAGTGAGGCGGGCAATGAAGCACCTTTTCTTAGTGTTAACGGCGGCCGCGGTACTACAACTTTCGTGTTAAGTCTGTGACGCCATTAGGCACAAAAATACCTTACCAAATTGACGTACATTGGGAAAGTACGGAAGAGGATTAGGGCCACATGAATAATTTTTTGGGAGGATTTGAAAGAAAAAAGAAAATTGATTTATCTTTTGTCAGAATTCTGACTTTTTTCCCACAATTCTGACTTTAATCTCAGAATTCTGACTTTAAAGTCAGAAAAACCGGTAACTGTAGAGAACCAGCTTCAGTGAGAGTATTACACATTGCAGTAGGCAACAATGGAGGACGTGAGTGAATTTCTGCGCGCCAGAGGGGTCCAAGAGGAAACCATATTGCAAATGGAAGAACAAAAGGTGAGTTATAAATATATAAGTGTGTTTTGGGCATTCGTAAAAACAACGAAAAGGCGTTGTGAATGTGAAATGCAGACATTGATGAGGTAGCAGCAAGTGCATTAGCTTATATGCTATGCTATGGCTTCCTTCCCCCCCCCCCCACCCCATCTAATTCAGTAAATGACAGCTACCGCTCACTTCGAGTCGTGGCTGAACCAGTCTCTGCGGTCCTGCCTGACTCATCATACTACTTCCCTGATGGCTCCCACAGGATTGCTGACATCCTCGTGGATTCATCTTCTTATTATAGACATTATTTCCAAACATTTGGTCTACCTACGCTGTAAAATGTATTATCTCCTCAATTTACACACGGCATCAATTGCACGTCTGTCCGTCCTGGGAGAGGGATACCTCCTCTGTTGCTCTCCCTGAGGTTTTTCCCATGTTCCCCTTTAAACTGTGGGGTTTCTCTGGAAGTTTTTCCTTGTACGATGTGAGGGTCAAAAGGACAGAGGGTGTCGTATTGTCATACTGATATTCTGTACAAACTGTGAAGTCCACTGAGACAAATGTAACATTTGTAATATTGGGCTATATAAATAAACATTGATTGATTGATTGATGAATATGAATCCTGCTGTACTGTCTGAAGGGGATTAAAACAGCAGGACAATGTTGGTAATTCTATCTAGTATGTGTTGCTGCTTATTATGTCAGTCTCTAACGTTAACGTTACTGAGTGTAACTACTCTGGTCTTAAATAATAAGCAGCAACACATACTAGATAGAATTACCAACATTGTCCTGCTGTNACACACACACACACACACACACACACACACACACACACACACACACACACACACAGAGAGATGACAGCACTTGCTTAGAATAGGTTTGGAAATATGAGGGGACACACCAACAGTGAAAATGACCCAACTTGGAAAGAGGTAAATAATAAACATAATAAAAAAAACAATAATAATTTGGGAATATATTGGATTATATCTGTAGAAGAAAGCTTCAGGTGACTGTTAAAACTCCCTGATTCTGTCAAAAGTTGGATGCTTAAACAAAATCAAAGACAAAAGGGAAGAGAAAAAGGCCATACATGGAATACAACAGAGGCTGAGTCAGCATCGCCACGGTTACCCCTGCTCTGCTTTGGGTGCTGCTGCAGCCTCTGGATACAGATGTGAGCAGCAAGAGAAATTTGAGCTTATGGTTTGCTTTTAATACAGAGGATGTAATAAAGCTTGCACCAGCATTCACATGTATTTACAGCACACCCTCTACAAGTCTGTCCATGCCTTTCTCGCTTGACTAAATAATAATAATAATAATAATAATCAGAATAATAACAGGGAACATCATCGAGAAAACAACACCCACACTGTGCTGTAATTGAAAGCTTACATACATGCAGCCATTTCCAAATGAACTCCATCATGGCGTCAGTTAGACTGTGGAAGAGAAGGAGGGAGGGTTGGAGTCTCTGCACACATCTTAAATATCCCAGAAGAACTTTGCTTCCTTAGTAAAATCCATGACATTTTAATACAAAGATTATTGAAAAACAAACACTGCACTGCTTAACAACTTCTCTTGCGATCCCATGATGAAAAAAAAAGAAAAAGCAACTCCCGAGACAACAGACTGGAGTCTTCCCCGTTTGAAAAAAGCAGTGAAGGAGTAGCAGCAGACTGGTGCTGTCATGCTGGGAGGGCACAGAGGAGATCGGTTAAATAAAAAGCTGTTCTCATGAGAAGCCTGAAGAGTTGCCGGCGCCGCGGTGCTGCAGGCGCGGCACAGTGTTCATGGTGCCTGTGGTGCTCAGGGGGGGGCTGGAGGCCTTCAGAGGCGTGCTGCTGCCCTGGGCCTGCGGGAAGCGCTGGTGGTATCGGTCTAAACGCAGATACTTCACAGTCACCAGCTTACCTGTTGAACCAAAAGCAAGAGTCTGTCACTGGCTGTAATATTTTTGTAGGCTGACCCAGAAGTTAGCATCGCAAAGGCGACTTCTACATAAAGCCAATGGGATTCTATCATTGGATTTTGTAATATTGCAGGAAATTGCTCTGCGGCAAACACAAGGTAATGATACTTACACGGTTTTGTTCAGCAGGATATTCCCCACACATTAACAACACTATGGTTTTCTAAAGCCTGAATGCAATTGCCAGAAGTTAAGCGCTAAAGACAGGCTTTAAACAATATACATTACTGTTGCATGTCTGCGCGTCACCACAGCTAAGCTAAAAGCGGGATCGCGTTTAATCTGATGTTTTTTATGTCGTAGAACAAAAAGGTGAAAATCTCACCAACATTATTTCAGGCATCTAACCAAAAACACATTTAAAAAACTGTTAGCTTTGAGACAGGGGAACCGATAATGCTAAAATGATAACTCATTTCTCATCCTCCATTAAACATACAGCAAGTACTGTTAGCTGCTAACTGACGGAAATGGTGACGGAGGAAGAGCACCTGAATCAGGATAATTAGGAGATGTTTTTATCATCAGTAGTGCTAGAGAGGTTTTGATTTTGTTGGAAGATTTAGCAGTTAACCACTTGATAAATAGAGGCTCATAGGAAGCTGAGCTGTTCCTAGCAGGTAGAGTTAAAACAATGCAGACCACTGATGTTCAAGGGGGAGTCATGACAACAAAACACAGGACAGATTGCCTGTCATGTTAAGATGATGGAGCAGTTGTAAGTGGCGCATCATCTGAGAGAAGGACCTGGTAACAGAATGAGTCTAATCAGGCCAAACCAGTGGAAATGAGACACACGACCGGACTTACCATCAAACCAGGAGCCGTGAAGTGCCTTAAAGGCTCTCCCCGAGTGCTCTGCAGAAAGACACTTGACATAGACACAGCCCTGGGGAGAGAGCAAGAAGCACGGTGTGACATCACTGCAGCCGACAGGTCAGAGGTGTGACATCACTTCGTAGGACAGCGCTTACCTCTCGGGAGTTCTTGTCAACAGCGATGTGGACGATACCGTCGTTGTCGTTGCACTTCTCCAGGATGGCCTCGTGGATGGCTAGATCCCAGTTCTCCCCAACCTCCCTGAAAACACCAAGAGGTTACAAAGAGGAAGTTAACTCAGGGAGAAGTCTGGTAGCTCTTCAGCAGGTCAAACAAGCAGCAGAGTCAGGTACTCACATGATCGGGTCAAACATGTTTCTGATCTTCAGACATGGAGTCAGGCTGTTGGGGGGGGAATTTCTCCGGTCCAGAGGGAAAGCTGAAGAGGAGAGACAAAGTCTTTGATTAGTGTATCAGAACACACAGCTGCATCAGTCTAGTCACCGTGTGCAACAAGGAGATAATGTGAGTTTGAGGGCAATGTTGAGGGCGATGATGGTTTGAAATGCTCAGTAATGCTTAAAGAAAAAGTGTTTAACCTTTTCCCTGCCAGACTTTAGAGTTCATGGAGGACGTCTTGTCACAACTGAGAGACGGCTGGATCCACCTCCAGACCAGGAAGTCAGCTCCCCCGATCCTCTGAGTCTCTTTCCGAATCCTGGACTCATTGGCTGCGAGGAACTTCTCAGCCCGCTCCCAAATCTTCTTCATTTTCTTTCTGTAAAATATTAGGGATATTTAAACACCTTCTTCACCTGACGTAATTTATCTATGGTAGGGCTGAACGATTAATCGATTTTAAATCAAAATCACGATTTGAAATGATGCGATTATCAAATCGCAAAGCCTGCGATTTCTTTTTAAACTTTTTCTTTCTTTTTTTTCATTCTTGTGTGTCAGTCATCCACACCAATCAGAAGTGCTGTGCTCCACATGTACCAGCCATTGTTAACCAATCAGAAGTGGCCCATGATAGTAGGTGATAGACAGATTGATCCAATCACCCGCCAAGTGCTTTTGAAAGAGCCTGCCCTTTCCAAATGGCTTCCAATGGAGCTTTCCTAGATGGTTTGGTGAAACAAACCATCTAGGAGAGACAAACCGTCTGAGTCAGGTTAGTAATGCTCCCTCACATGTTTTACATCTATTACAGGGTGAATCAGCTCTTTCACTCGTAGCTCGGGCTGCGGGGGTGCTAGAGACGGGAGCATGTTGATACGACCTTCCTAGCCGGAGATATGCCCGCATTTTACAATAAACTTCCGTTGGGTCGCTTAAAAACAAATATCGCAAATCGAATCGCAATATCTGTCAGAAAAATCGCAATTAGATTATTTCCCCAAATCGTGCAGCCCTAGTCTATAGGTGCTGTTAGTTGACACAGTTTTCTTTAGACACAGAGGATCAAGCTGTGGCAGTGTTTTGTTACTGACCGGTCCTGAGGCTGAACCAGGGAGTCTCTGACGTGGGGGATGGGCAGGTACGGCTGCAGGTCTTGGTTCTCTTGGCAAGCCTCACTGTGGCTTCGCAACACATCTAAACAACATCATATGGAAGAAGGATAAAAGCATGAGAAATCACCGGGTCATCGCATAAATAGATAACATTTTAATAAACAAACAGAGTATATCATTTAATGTCTTTGTGTAGACGTAGTTCATGTTTATTCAAATCATCATCTTTTTCCTGATCTGTGTGTTAATACTTGCTGTAGTCAGTGTGTGCTGCTCCTTACCGATGATCCTCTCCACCATGTCATACATCTGCCGGGTGTCCTCCTCCTCTCTCCTCCAGCGAAACTTCATGTAGCAGACCACGCTCCACACACAGCCCACCACTGCACACACACACAGGATCCACAGGTTAAAGACAGAGCAACTAAAAAGCTGATTACACTGCTGCTTGGTGGAACAAATGAGTGATTACACTGGTGTTTCCACTGGTTCTGCCATTACAGTGAGATCTAAAGATTGGTCTATGATAATAACGGCAGTATACCGTTACAACCCACAGCTTTGTTAACATCATCAAAAAGACACTGTAAATCATTCATAACTCAACCATGTGGTCCAGATTAGGACACAGGGTTTGGTAAATGCATGGATGAGTTTATAATTGAAATAATAACAAACAGTAAAGCAGCTTTTTGGTCCATTCCCTGGTTCTGTCTTTGATGTTTTGGAAATCTTATTAGATGCCAATTTGGAGCGCTTTGGAACATGTAAGATAAAAAAAAGTCAGACAGTGCTTACATTGGTACTTTTACTTGTGTCATTTCTTGGAGTATCTTTACATATTTGATTTCCTTAAAATCTTTGAAAAAAACAAAGATAAAACGTTATGAAAGTCAGCAGACTATAATAAATGATAAAAGTATTGAAATTGTGTCAAGGAAAATCATTTTAATAAAATAAAAAAATCAGACTGTTTGCTAATAAACACAGATTTCATATTAGATACATACATGTTTCTCAATGTAGAACAATTGAAATATATATTCATAAGTTATTTTAAATATATAAATTGTCTAGATTTTGGGATATGCTAACTTTTATGAGCAGCAACAAATTCATATATAATACAAAGGCCTTTTTGCAAAGCACAATCTGGTTCTTTCAACTGTCTTTTAGTGACATCAGTCATCTTTAGTGACAGTGGCAGGACGACTGTATCAGGTGTAGTTGAACTTATCAACATAATCTATTTATCTGTGATCTACAATGCACAACTCAGGCTTGCTGTTGTTAATGACCTGTGGCTTAACTCACCAACTGCAATGAGCGAGACTCTGCTGATGACGGTGAAGAAGGCTCTGCGGAAGCGGCACGTGAACGGCATCTTGGGATGCGAGGACTCCAGCCGAGAGATCTCAGAGACATCAGTCAGAGGCTCGTCAGCGACCTGCCCTGTCAGCCTACACCCACACACACACACGCAGAGTGAGTAAATATGTCCCATTTAAGGGCTGTGATCAGCGTGAGGATGGATATCTTGTGTTACCTGATCCCAACCTCCTGGCCTGTCCTGATGATCCACTCCAGAGAGGTCTCAATGAAGCCATCGAAGTCCTGATTCTGAGACTGAACACAACACACCACACTGATAAGAGGAACAGGACAGATGTGTTTCCACATGTGTGGCCCTTAAGTCAGTCTCTTAATGCTCCATGCTCTCTTTGATTCCTTATAAGCTCTGCATTCGCTGAGAGAAAACACATTAGCTTGCTTCATAGTGAATGTGGTGAATGCTGTACTTCATTGCACACCCGGTAGCGCAAGTTGCAGAAACACTGGGAAAACGTATTGGCAAGACTGTGTGTATTAAATGGGTTGTGTATACAATTGTGATTTTTGTGGAGGGAAAATAAATCTCCCTATGGGGAAAGATCTATCATCTGGAGCGAAAAGAGAAAAGTGATGCTTTTTTTTTTTAACTGCGCTTCCTTTTCTCTCCACTGTAATTCAGCACCACTCTCATATCCTGCCTTCAGACAGGATTTAAAACATCTAAATCAAAAGAAAACAGACGGAAAATACACTCTACTGTAGTGCTTTAAAGCAACCCTCTAAATACAAGCTCCCA